TTGTTCTTTGTAAGCGACATTAAGTTAGATGTAAAATGAGCAAGATGGTCCTTTCTTCAATGTGGTAAAAGTGAAACAACCAAGATCTCTAAACTTGTTTACATTTTTGGCGAACATAGCTCTACATTTTTCAGATGTACTTATGATGTCATCCCATTTAGAATGTAAATGGCAAGACTCCTACTATTTTCCCAAGAGGGCTCAAATAAAAGACTTGGAACCCAGGAATTCTCAGAAAATGATGCTTACTACCAAATTCCTACTACTAATTAATTGTGGTAGAAATTTTCTAGAATACGCCCACTGCTTTGCTATAGGATTTAACAAAATTTTATTATAGAATTACCAGGGCATTAAATGTAAAGCTATGCCATTCGTAGTTTTCTTAAGAAGGGGCTGGCAAAATATAGCCCACAGGCCAAATACAGCCCACTGCCTGTTTTGTAAATAAAGTTTTATTGGAACACAACCACTCTCATTTGTTTACATATTGCCTGTGGTTGCTTTTACGCTACAACAGCAGAGCTGAGTAGTTATGACAGAGACTATATGGTTGCAAAGCTTAAAATAGTTACTATCTGGCTTTTTACAGAAAAGGTTGCTGATTCCCATTCTAAAGAATCCTTCAGTTAATCAATCCAACAATGCCTCATGAATGTCCTTAACACATGATTAAGTGACCACAAGAATGTGGCTTATCCTGCCTGGTCTTTCTTCTCAATCTGTAAGAGGAGAGATTTGTGTAGATAGTTTCCATTGTGGCCATTAATCATTCTGGTTCTCAGTCAATGAGTGATTTCCTTTTGAGGTTTGATTACTTCTGAATATTTGAGACATCTGTACCTCCTATGAGATTGGAGAAACATTGGCAGGGCACACCAGGAGGCTCAAGTTCCAGTCCCCTCTTTGCCCCTAATTGGCTAAACCTCTTGGTGCTTTGCTTCTGTAAAATGAGAAGGCTGCACAGACAGGATGAAATTTCCTTAGGTCGGATAATTATGCTCCAGTGTGTGAAGTGGCTCGTGGAAGGCCACACTGGCTGCTATGAAAGCCCAAGGAATGGACTCATAGAGAAGGGACTCAGAGAAGGCTTCTGGGAGGAAGTGATGCCTAACCTGAGTCTTGAAAGATGGGAAGGAAGTCATGCTGCTGGAGAATGAACTGACCAATAAAGCAAAAAGGTATCTTATTGAAGCCATCATTTTATTTGGCTGTTTAGGAAATATCATCTGTTTCAGCATCTACCCTAGGAAAGCTCTCTCAAAATTCAAACAGACTCTAATATGTGCCTTATACTCTGCTTCTGGAGGCACATCATGGAAGGTCACCCATGCCAGTAACTTTTCACAATATAGTCACCTTTTTTTTGAGAAGAGATTTCTTTTTCTTTTTCATCCAAATACCAAGTTCCCATCCAAGGCTTGAAAAAGACATCAGCTGCCACTGGCATAGGTCATGTGATGACTATTGCACAGAACACCAAGGCTTCTTGGGAAAATGAAGATTAATGAGAGAGTATGGGCAAAGGATCCTTCCAGGGCTGTAGTCAAGGTCAAGGAGAAGTGAGATAACTCTAACTTCAAACAACTTTGGCAGTGGGATTAGGCAACATGCTTATGCAGCAGTCATTTTCACAGGGCTAAACCATCCAAACATCCACAACAATAGATTCTGAAGGGAGGAGAATTATCTGAGTTGACTAGCCGTGCAATCTCAATAATTTCTAAGCAGTCACTAGCACTCCCACAATTCTAACTGCCTGTACTAATGTCAGAAGTAGAGTTCATTCATGCATTCAACAAATTTTAGTGAGTACCAACACTTTTCTGTATACTGTATACAACCATGGACAAATGAGACAAAAATCCTCGCCCTGTGAAACTTACATTCCAGTATGTCACCCTTGTATGGAGAAAAGTGCAGAGAGTTTTAACTTCTAACTAACGGGACATACGGCTATTCTGAACAGTCCCCAAGGGACATTGTGCAAAAGAGTCTAAGCCACCCCTGAGCCAGCCTTCTCCTGAGCCCTTGTCCCTCGATCTTACTCTCTGTGTCACAGCTATGCACTAGAGGGTGTAAAGCAAGACAGCCTGATGCTTTTCCCTTAATGTGCCCTCATTATCAAGCCAAATGACTCCTAAAGCCTCAGTGCAAAAATGCTCACAGCTTTTGAACCACTTCTGGGAATCTCGACTAAGAATACAGTCCTGACTTCTGAAAAGCATACAGGTGCAAAATTTCACATCACAGCCTCATTTAACCTAGCCCAAAATAAACAAATAGATAAGAAAGAAACAAGGGCAAATTAAATGTCCAACTATAATTAACAGATAGGTAAATTATTGTTTTTATGAGAGATGAAATAACAAGCAGCCATTAAGATGATTTTTATAAAGATTCTATGATAATGTGGGAAAATACTTATTATAAAATGTTAAGTAATCAAGTAAAACAAAAACCTATATATATATATTCAACATAATGAGCACGTGTAAAAATCTACTATGAAAAATAAAAGTATGATGGGAATGTTCTAAAACATTAACCATTTAATATACTTAGGCATTGAAATTGTGAGCATTTTTATCCTTTTTGTATTTGCCTTTTTTCTTTAATGAACATTTATTATTTTTATAATTAAGAAATAATCATTTTAAGCCTAAATATAGTTTTTAAAAGGCAAGGATGAGGCAGTAAGAACAAGTATAAAACAGTTGATCCTGGTAGCAGAGTCTGCGATCTGGGTTCAAACTCCCTGGGTCTGAACCCTGGCTCCCCAGGCTACTGTGTGACCTTGAGCAAATCATTTAACCCTCTTCTTGCTCCAGTTTCCCACCCACAAAATGAGGGTGATAACAGTGCCCACCTAATGGCTCAGTATGAGAATGAGTAGATAATCCATCAACAGTGGTTAGCACAGAGCACTCACAATGATAACAGATCCAATACTCCAGTGGCCTCAACAAAAGAGTTCACACAAAGGGAAAGGCGGGCACACATCACATCTTCATGCCTCAGCGACAACTCACTCAGAGTTGTGTTTTCAGTGGGCAATTTCCCCTCAGGCAGAATCAATCTCCAAATCCTTTACTCCTATTTTCCATTTTCCCCAGGAGAAGATGGACAGTGTGTTGATACTCATTTTTATGGGCAATTACTTTGGCTTTCTTAATGTACTGATCATGATTTATTGTGCAAAGTACCTTTCGATTTTAAAAACAAGTCTAAAAATTATGTTAATAGGACTATCAGAAAACACTACTCATTATGTTAAAAGGAAATGACCTCGTGAAAATACTGTTTATGGTGCTGACAGTAGTTAACTCGAAGATAAAAGTAATTGTCTGACAGAATCATATTTTTTCGTGTAATGTCTGTTCCAAAAACATTGAAGTCAAAACCTATCTCCTGAACCCAACATCCTTCTTTCTGTTCAAAATTAAACCATCAAAATCTGAATAAAATAAAGTGGTTGTTAACTAGGCCTGCACCTTGTCCACAAAAGGCTTTTAGAAAATATTTGTGGAAAGGACATCCATTTCTGAAATTTTAGTTCTTATTGCTTGCCAATACTTATCTTTTCAAAAGACTGAGAGTTCAGTTAAGATTGCATAAATATTAAATCTTAACCAATAAAAAAGATCCAGAGTCTAAGAAGGGATTACAAGGAAAGACAGGTTACAATTCGTCCTTTACACCCCCTTCCTCTGCAATGGGCTCCTTTTCTCCTTTGAGAGAGACATTATGCCTTTCAGCTTCCAGAGGCATTCTTCACCCCAATTTCTAATCCAGATTTTCTTGATCTTTTGACCCTACAAATGCTCTACTCAAAATAAGGCTGTGATTCTGTTACATTCTTGATTTGGTTTGGCAGCCTTTCTCTATCCATAGACTCTGTTTTCTCCTTGCATGGAGCATCTGCCTGCTTAACGTGTCAAAAGGTCTTGAGCTGTGGAGTTTCACGGGCTTAGATTTGAATCTGGCTGGGCACCAGCTGTATCATCTCCATTCAGCCATTTAACCTTACTCAGCCTCAGGTTCTGTCTATAAAGGGGGCATGATAACTACATATCTCACAAGGTTACAATGGGGCTGGATGAGACGACAGATGCTAAATGACTGGGCGTGGTAGGCAACTCAATCATGTGTTCTTCCTTTCCCCTGTGAGACTGTTTTGGGGTTCGGCTGTCGTTCTAATCCTTAAGGCCCTTTTTTTTCCTGTCTTTCCTTCTCAGACCAGAAGGCAAGGTTCTTCTAAACTTGGGATTTTTAATTTAGAAGAACATTTGAACTCTAAATTAACTTCGACCCGTTTACATTTATGTCCCAGTGGAACTGGAAAGGTAGACGAGTTGGTGGTGGTCCCCTTGGGTGGGACCTGAGAAGAGGGGCTTTCACTCAGGCCGCTGGGTTCCCAGCACCTTCTCTTTCCCACCATCGAAGTCTGGGTCTGGCTCTGCCCACCGCCCTCAGACCCGAAAAGATTAAGTTGATCAGTCCTCCTGAGCGAGGTTTCCTTCTGAAGGTGCCAACACAGACTCTCTCAAGATCCCAGAACCAGCCCGCCCCCACCTAACAAAGGAAAAGTGAAGGAAGAACTAGAAGGGCTGGGAGTGAGACGCCACAGGTGACGCTGGATCGAGCGGAGTTGGAGAGGGAACCGTCCGTCCAATAGCTCCACCCAACCTGACCAGTCCGGCTCGCTTCCTGCCCTGCTTGACCTCCTTTCCCGGAGCAGCCGGCGGATTTGGAGCTGGGAGAAGCGCGCGCGGCCGGGGGGAGTGAAGTCCGCGTCTGCCCCGCGACCGCTTCTCCACTCCCCTGCGTCCCGCCCGCAGTCCCGGCCCCGCCAGGCGCTCCCCGCGAGCTCTGCCGCGCGCTCCGGGCAGCCGCCCGCGCCCCCTCTGCGCTCCTCGGGGCGCGCGGCGCGCTGCGCTCTTGGACGCCGGGAGCCCGGCAGGGCGCTGCTCTCCGCGCCCGGGGGAGGGAAACGCTACCTGTGAAAGTAATGTGCGCAGAAGAGGCCCAGAAGCACAGTCGCAGGCTGGCCGAAGATAGAGCGAGGCTGCCGGGCGAGGATCCCCGCGGGCACCGCGAAGGAGGGCAGCTCCTGCAGGAACCAGGCGGCACGGGCGGGCAGGCGGATAGCCGCGGGCATCACGCTCTCCGAGTACTTCCCGTAGCCGGAGGGCTTCGCGAGGTACAGGACCAGCGCCCCCAGGGCGGCCAAAGTGGCGCTGCCTGCCAGCACCGGGCTCTGCTGGCAGTGAACGGGCATCGCGACGTGTTTCCCGCCGGTGGCCACCGCCTGCGCAGAGAAGAGGCGGCCCCCACGGTCCCTTTATGGAGCGCTAGACGCCACCCCGTGTCCGCCCCTTCGGCCTTGGCTCCCTCCCCTCTATCCTGCCTCCCACCTGGCGCAGTCAGCCCTGGCTTGCCTCAGCAGCGATGCCCCTTTCGCGGGGCTGGGGCTTCAGGGGCCTGCCAGAGTGGAGGGGTGGACGAAGGCTTTGGTGGGGCCAAAAAACGTTTCCCGGGGCCCCCAGGCCTTCGACTAGCCCATATTCGCGCCTCACCAGCGCGCCCGCCCTCTCCACCGCCTGCCGCAGGTCTCCCTTTTAGAATGCTCTTCGATGACTTGTTCCTCACCCGTCAACCTTTGATACTCCAACTGCTGGAACTAGACAATCAGGAGAGAAAACCAGAGGGACAATTTAGCCGGGGTCGTTCTCCCGCCCCAACACACTTTCTCTGTGGCATTGTGAGCAGCCCCCACACTCAGACCACCCCAGCCCAGGATTTGCCCAACCCCTCTGGTTCCCTACACTCCTTCACTCCCCGCCCGCTTCCAGTCAATGCTGCAGCCTTCCTTCGACCCTGGACCGGACATCCAGGCGCTTCTCGCGTCCTCCAGCCCCTTTGCATTGGGGCACCACGCTCCTTCGCCGCTTTCATCATCAGTGCCTCCTCTGCACCACTCTCTCCCAGGCAGGTACCAGCCTCTCCCGGGCTCTAATTACTCCACGGTTTCTCTCTGCATCCCTGGGTGCTCTCCTGGGCCGCCCGCCTCTGTTAAAGAGGCGCGTCCGCTGAGCGCGGGAGCGAAAGCACGGATTGCGGCCAGGAGTAGTGATCCTGTTGGTACCTCCTTGCTCTTCTCCTCCCAAGGACCCCAGGAGCTGGCCAGACTCAGGCTAAGGTCTAGGACTTCTGCCACGGGATGACCTCTCCTAGCTCCTAGAACGGGTAAATAGGGTTCAATATGGTGGTGCCATTGGAGATGCCAACTGCACTCTGAAAACCAGATGTGGTTCTTTCTGTCTTCCTTCTATTTGCCATCCTTCTCTCCTCCTTCACCCCCTCGTTCATTACCTATTTCCTCTTCCCTTCTAGCATTCAGTATCCAGACTTCCCCGGCTGCCCTTCTTCTATTTTGTGCCCCTTTTTCTCTCTACCTTCTTTCCTTGATCCGGCTTCCTCCTTCCATGTCAGCCTCCTCTTCCCACCTGCTGTTGACTTCACTCATCCATCTTCTTGTCCCACCTTCCTTGATAACTTTATCCCTATTAATTTTCTCCTCTGGTCACAACGTCAAGCTGCATCTCAGTCTTTCCCCTTCTCCCTCTCCCCTTTCTTGGGCGCTTTCTTCATCCCTCTTTCTTAGATCCAACTCATGGCCTCTCAAGAGCCCCACTCGGTATTTCCCCATCCACTCCTGCCCTGTCCTACTGGCTGTTCCAATGAAAGGCACTGTCCCAACTGCCCAGTTTAGGGGTGTTTCCAGATACCTGGGACACGTGGTATAAGGTGATGCTTTAGTCCTATGGGGCACCCTCTGCTTACTGACCAAGAGTTATTGATCATCTCTCTGGTGGGTTAAAAATGAAGTAGTAATCATGTGCCAGTTTTCAATTGATCACCACTAGGAACCACCCATACTGGTTAAAGTACTTCCCATGGAGTAATCAGTTGTTGGCTCTCATGGCTCCCTGGAGCTGTTTTTGCGCTGGCTTTGTATTGCACATCTCGTCCCAGCTTTCTCAGTTACTACCTGCTAGTTGAGGACACCCAAATCTCGATCTCCAGCAAAGATCTGAGCTTCTGATCTGCATTTCCTCCCTGCTGGACAACTCCACTTGGATGTTCTTCAGAGACCTCAAATTCAACCCCACCCAAAATGAACCAATTTATCTTCCCCTTCACACTCCATCCACACTCGAATGCTCTCTGTGTCTTCCTGGTTGTTACCTCTTCTCTGTCCGCAATAGCCATAGCCTTCCTGGGAGGCTGGCTTGTAGACTCAGGAAATTATACCCTTCTGGATGCCATACAGTATCACGATAAGAAGCAGTATGACGTTTTAAACCCAACTCAATGGAATAACTTTTCTTTTAACGAAATTTCTCCCTCCTTTCTCCTAACTTTGCGCAACTTTGGTCCTCATTATCCTTTTCTGCTACTGTATTAGTTAGCTTTTGCTGCATTACAAACTGCCCTAAAAGTCAATTATCTTCAGTTTATGCATCTCTGAGCTAGCTGGGTATCAGCTGACCAAGGCTGGATTTGGCTGATCTTGACTGTGCTCACTCATTCATCTCTGGAGCAACTGAGAGCCCTGCTCCAGGCTGGATTTGGATAGAAATCCTTAGCTGAGGCAGCTCTATCCCACACGGCTCTTATCCTAAGATGAGTGAACTAGCCCAAGCATGTCTATATATAGTCTCAATAACAGAAACACAAATTTTAGTACAAGAAATATACCAGACCTCTTGAGGCTCAGGCCAAGAACTAGTACACTCTTACTTCCTATTCATTCTGTTGGCCAAATAAAGTCACATGGTGTATTCCAGCATCAGAGTGGGAGGGTATTGCAAAGTTACATGGCAAAGGACAGGGATACAGGGAGAGGTAGAGAATTGGAACCAATAATGTAACTGTTCTGTATTATATACATAAAGAAAGTGCCCAAATTGTAAATATACCACTTGATTGATTTGCACAAACTGAACACATTCTTGTAACAAGCACCTAGGTCAAGAAACAGATTATTCGCATACCAGAAGTTCCCTCATGCCTCCTTACTTCCTCTCCCAGAATAACCACTACTCTGACTTCTAATGCCATAATTAGTTATGTTTGCTTTTGAACTTTATATAAATATAATCATACAGTATTTACTCTGTGTGTGTTTTAATAGTGTTTTACCTGAGATTTGTTTTAATCAGGTATGCTGAGCCACACAGACATGGAAATGACTGTCATGAAGAAAGTTTATACTCACAGATCCCTAGAAATAGGAGGCACAGGATGCCACACAAGACCACACGCAGAAGAATCATGATGTCAGGAGACAGAGGGAGTGAGAGGAAAACGTAGACAAGAGCTTTTATTGTGGCTCCCACAGGGAGGAATAGATGAGGCAGTGTGAGCATGATTGGTTAGTTTGAATAATTGCAGTGAGCTCTTGGTTCTAGGGGCTATCTCCAGTTGTCTGGTACCTGGCTTTGTGGTGATTAGGGCAGAGGAATAGTGGTCCAGAGTATAAGAGTTTGATGTAAGAGAAGGTTGGGATCTGATTGGAGTGTGTGTTGGGGGGGAGGGGGGGAGAGAGAGAGAGAGAGAAATCACCTGTGAAATTCAGTAGCAATCCCAGGGTATGCTTAGGTGGTATAATAATCTATTTTTTGAGTGAAGGCTATCTGTCTAATGAAATGTTAAATCAATCCCCTATATGTATCAAGATGATTCATAAGTAATTTAACAAAGCTCAACCCTTTTTAAAGGAAGACAAATTCGGACAAGTAACAATGTACCTTCACAATGTCCAACGTCCCCAAAATTATTAGACATGTTGCATTGACTTCTGATATCAACTACTAGAGTTGAGCCAAACTTCACAGGTTTAGGACACAACCTGCACAAGACTGGCCTCACTTCCTACACTATCAAATTCAGGGGTCTCCAGACCACATACACTTCTGAGAAGCTGACTAAAATTTGGGGGTCCCCACTAACCCTTAGTGTTCAATAATTCACTAGAACAACTCATAGAGCTCAGGAAAGCACTATACTTATGATTGCAGTTTATTACAGCAAAAAAAAGATACAAATCAGACCCAACCAAAAGAAGAGATGAATAAGATAAGGTCTGGGAGTAGGGGTCCCAAACATTAAGTTTGCTTGTCTTTTCCCCATGGAGTCAGGATCCACTACCTTCTCAGCACATCAGTGTGTGACCATATGCAGTGCACTGACCACCAAGAAAGCTCACCCAAGCTTCAGTGTCCAGAGCTTTTATTAAGGTTTCATTATGTAAGCATGATTGACTCAATCATTGGCCATGTGATTGAACTCTTTCTCCAGCCCCCGTCTGCTCCCCAGAGGTCAGGATGCTATCATGTGGCTTAAAGCCCCACCCTCTAATTACATAGCTGGTATTTCTGGCATAGCCAGCCCCCATTCTGAGTCATCTAGTTGGTATAAACTATCAGGGCCTCCTTGAACAGCAAAGATACTTCTTTCACTCAGGAAATTCCAAGAATTTAAAGGCTACTTCTGAGGAACTGGGGACAATACCAGGCAAATTCTTTATCCCAAGTGTTTAGAGACTATCCCCCAAGGACCCAGGACAAAGAGCAGACCTATCTTTGGGTAAAGTTAATTATTCCCTACACACTTGTCAAGAAGCCAAAAAATGTGACACATAATCAAGAGGAAAATCAATCAACATAAACAGACATAGAAATGACAGAAATGATGGGTTAACAGGCAAATACTATAGAATATCTATTTTAAGCATACTCAACATGTTTAAGGATTTTTTTAATGAACATAATGAGATAAACGGAAGATATAAGAATGGAACTTCTAACCGTGAAAAAAGCTTGAAATGAAAAATTTGCTGGATATGATTAACAATAGATTAGACACTTCACAGAAAATATTGGTAAATTTGAAGACATAGTAACAAAAAATATCTAAGAGAAAGCATGCAGAGAAAAAAGAAACTGAGAGGTAGAGAGGAGGAGGGGAAAGAATGACAACTCAATGACCTGTGTGACAATATCAAAAAGTCTAAGATATATGTAATAGAATCCCAGAAAAAGAAGGAAGGAGGACAGAAAACAAAATTGAAGAAATAATGTTTGGAAACTTTCCAAATTTGATGAGAACGCCACCTTACAGATCCAGGAAACTGGATAAACCCCAAGCAAGATGAACACATACACACAAATCACAGAAAAGTATATCATAATCAAATTGCTGAGAACCAGTAATAAATGGGAAAAATCTTAAAAGCAAACAGAAAAAAAAAGACACAGAGGAACAAAGGTAATAAGTACAACAGATTTCACAGAAACTA